GATGAGGAGCATGGGATAGTGGTCTGTGGGCTGGAGGAGCCCAGGGATCTTCTCTGCAATGTCTAGGATGCGGGCTCCCAGGAAACAGCAAGCTTCCCGAGCTGAGAGGTCAGGGCGGCAGATTGCCCCCTCAGTTCCCCTCAGGATGGAGTCTCCCATGACAAACACTTTGCGTTTGGTCTTGGGGAGAGTGGGGGCGGTAGATACAGTGTCCTCTGTGTTGCCTGCGGGAGCTGGCAACTCAGCAGGCTCTGCTGGGGCTGCAAGAGGTTCATACCTGTTGCAAAGCTCCAGCGGGGCAGGGGCCTTGGTGTGGCGGGCCTTAGGGCCCCTTGCCACCTTGGTCCAAGCCCTGGGCGGGACAGTAAGGGAGGCCCCAAGTCCTCCCTTGTCCTGGAGGGAGACCATGGGCTACCCTCCACCTCCCGGGGGGGAATGGCCTGGCAGTAGGAGTCTTATTTCCTGCTTGCAGTCCCTGGACTGCAGCCTGGAGCTCCTCCAGCTGGCGCACCAGAGACCCCAGTAAGGAGCAGACCCCACAAGGGGAGGTGGCCATGCTTCCTGGCCCCAGAGCCTGAAAAAGCCACAGGCAGCCCCCGCAGCTGAGAGCCAGGGGCTCCATCTGTGTGGAGCCTGGAACCGTGGGCTCTGTCTGGGTGGTGGTCTACAAGGTGCTAGATGGGGGGGCTGCAGACCCCTCGGGGACCCTTGGGGTGTGGTGCATGCCCCTCCATGTCATGCCACCAGTGGGCTGGCTACGGCTGGGACTGCTTACTCTGGGGGGCTCACAGGCAGGGCCTCAGGCGAACTCCAGTGCTAAGTTGCGTGCCAGGCCCAGGAGCACGCCTGTTTGCAAGGCTCCCGTCACGCGGCTCCCTGTGGGGCTGGGCGAAGTAGGAGCTGGGGTGGGGGTGACCCTCCTCGGCCCACTTAGCCTGCTCCCAGCTGACTAGGTCCCTCCCTCCATGGGCTCCTGCTTACCTGCCGGCAGGGCAGGGCTTGTCAGGGGTCCTGGGGTCGCTGCTGGGGTCCCTGGGCTCACAGGGGCACAGCGAGCTTACACTTGCATGTCTCGCACCAGAGCCGGGACTCTAATGAGGCTTATGCCATTGCTGGGCCCTTTTTAAACTTGCAAACTTTTGAGTACCCTGTCTTAAAATTCACTTTTGTAACTTTTTGCACTAACAGTACTCGTTTATGAATGAAAAGCAGTACCACTGTGCTTATGTCCTGCAAGAGCTTACAAGAGGCATAGTGCAAGTGGTAGGTTTTCAATATTTTACGTTGTAACAATGAAAATCTCTCAATAAACATGTTAGAATCTGAATACCATACCTTTTACAGACAGGTACAAAATTATGCACTGAAAGCTGAAATGTAGCTAGTTGTATAAAAATGCAATGAAACAGACCCCACAATCGATGTATTTGGGGGCCATATTTCATCCTATTTTATGCTGTGTTCCCCAGCATATCAATAGAAATTGGGCTGGCATATCTGAGGATGAAATATGGGTGTGTATATGAACCTAGCAGTTAGGGTCGGGAAGGAATTCAGGAATAACTTTCTGCAATTTTTTAAATCCAAGCATTCATGTTAAATTAATCTACCAAAGCAGCTTATGTTCTAGGTTCAATAGAGTTGAACAAAGCCAACTTTGGGTATGTTGGCAGGGCAGGGCTGGGCTGGGTTTGTCTTCACGGCATGGCATTGTGATGTGTATATGTATCCTCACCTTGTTTAAAGACCCGTTTGTATGTTTTTTTTGAAGCGGTCGGAAGCAGCCTGTGGCTTGGTTGCCTATTGCGTACATAAATTTTCATGCAAAATAGAACCACTCAGAAATGCAATATTGTTTTGTAGGAGTTTTTTAAACGTGATTCAGAGTTCCATACATGACTAAAGTTATTTAAAAAAATGTTTGCTGTCAAAACTAGTATAGAGGTGCAGCCTCTGTTGGCAGATACGGCAGCTGCTTTTATTTTTGTCTTAAGCCTGTACTAAATTAATGTCTGAAGTTATTTTGTAAAAATGAAGGTTATTTGGTAAGTTTTCCTGAGGCTTGTATACTGGCACATGTGCTGCTGCTTTTTCTTTTTTCTTTGGTGGGCTTGGGAGTCGAGATTCCAGCTGAACAGATCAAGTTTCTGAAACAATACATTTTCTCAGACTTCATGGAATTGTTCTGTTACATTTACACTTGTTTGGCTCAGAGGCCAAGTGCTGAGGTCTTTTTCATTTTATATTTGTTTTTGTAGGGATCTTAGCAACATCAATTGTGAAGAGCTTGGTCCACTGCCTCCTGGATGGGAGATCCGAAATACAGCAACAGGGAGAGTTTATTTTGTCGACCATAACAACAGGACAACGCAGTTTACAGATCCCCGGCTGTCTGCTAACTTGCATTTAGTCTTAAAGTAAGCGTCTCAAGTGTCCGGCTTGTATTTAATTTAGTATTTAAAATGAAGGTGCCACTTGAGAGTGCTTGATATAAGCTAAGGTGTTTTTTGTCTGTGTTATATGAACTTTCTACAAAAGTTTGCCTCCAACCTGTGTGTGTTAACATACACACAAATGTCTTCCCTATAACATATCGCAAGAAGAGAGTCCTGATTTACTTTATTTTAACCGTACTGTCCTTGGAGGGCTTCAGCCACTGTGACTTGATGGTGGGGGCCTGCCATTGAGTGCCACTGAGTAGAAGGGAGATGCCATATTGCACCTGTCCAGGTACAATATGGCACAGTGGCATTTCCCTAGAGGCAGCAGAAGCAGCACCTGCTCCCCTTTTTGCATTGCCTGTAGCTCTTAGTATTTGAAGCTGTAATTTAAAAAAAATAAAATAAAAGATTAATACATAGGGAAAGACAGCAGGTAGCTAATTCTTCTTTCATAATCTGGATTTTTTTAACTCCTGTCTCTAGCCCAGCATCATTTGAGTAAGAGGGTTCAAAATGTTCTGAACTGGAAAATAGTACTTACTGGAAGATAGACTGCTACTGAATAAAGGGAAAGATTGGAAGCAATATATGTATGTGACATATTCCACTAACTCCCCCTAGGGCATATGTCCTAGTGACTGGGCATTTGCAGATAACGGTGTTTTAAATAAGCAGAAAAGAAAATTAAAAGCTCTGAGGAATGCTGGTTCTTATTTTAATTCTTCATGGATTCTTAATTTCCCATTGGAGGAGTTTCTCTCTCACTAAATATAGAAACCAAGACACATACAAATGTTTATTTTGTTTAGGCATGCCTATCCGTTTGTCCAGCTGCTATTGGAATTTGACTGTATTATGTCTCCCATTAACACCTTCTATAATGCCATTGTATTGGGAAATACCTGCATAATACTATTGAGGTGTTTAATGGAGTGGACAAAAAAGCCATATGCAACCAGTGCAAAGAGGCATGTGGGAGAGGTAGCAATAGGTTTTCCTCATGGCTGTCAGTCACAGGGAAGAGCAGAGGAGATCGTGTCCAGAGTGAGGAGGCAGAAGAACAAACCAGGCTTCAAAAATGGCCAGAAAACTTCTTGTGTGACTTGTGACATTGTCTAAAAAGTTGGTCTTAAACGGTTTGGGACAACAATTTTTGTCTGAATGATCCGTCCCTGGAATCCAGAGTGTTGAGAGAGAGAGGAGGCTTCAGCTGAACATAAGAGGAAAATTTTTTTCTGTTTTCAAGATTACATTTTTGTGTTTTATGGGCATTTGATTTAGGTCCTTGTAGTGCACGCGAGCTGGCTTTTTACGAAACAAAATGGTTAATTTTTGTAATTTGATAAATTTTTTTATCTGATTTTTTTAAAATCTTTTTTTTAACAGCATTTAAATTCCATGCTGCTTAAGCTGCCTGCTGACATTCCTGAATTTCCCAGGTATATTTTAGGAGCCTGCACACACCCAGCACATAACAGATTAGTTTTAAATTAAATATAGTCACTTTTTGTAGCAAAATCAATTAAATGGGTTTTTTTCAGAAAATTATAGAGTATTTGGTTGGTGTAGTCTGTTTAGGTCCTCCAGTTGCCATTTCATAGATATTTATAAGCCAGCCATGATCTAGTAGTTGATTTGACATGTTTTTGTGGCTCACAAAAGGCAGCTAGCTTTGCATCAGGAAAATCCAGTTTGATTTGCAAGCTCCAAAAGCACAGAACCGTACTTTGCACTTCTTTAAGCTGTAAGAGCTATTACAACGTGCTTAAGTATTTTTTTCATTTGTATATGTGTCTTTCTTCAGGAAAGGATTTCAGAAATTCAACCAACAGTGTCATCAGCAAAGTTTACTGCCTGATAAATCTTTTTCTGGTGTTTATTCTTGTATTGTACCAGGATATGGGAAGAGTGTTTTGGTTTAAGAGCTGAATAGTTAAACGCTTCATTGAGTATATAGCTTTGGAGAGAGAAATGATCAGTTTTCCAGTGTTGTAAATATCAAAAGCCAGCTATGAACAGAAGTAAGAAATGATGGTAAAACACTAATGCTAGCAATAGCTGTATTATCTTAAACGCTAATAAGTATTTAGCTAGGGCTTCATTGTGATTATATTTGGTCAGATTTGGCTGATGCTATTTAATTTTTCTCCTTCCAACCCTGTTGTCGTTTCAACTGCTGTAACTCATGCTGATGTTACAGATTTCCTTCTTTTCATTAAAGACTGAATTTAATTGGCTTCATGTCTACAAGCTACTAACTTTAGTGAGGTATATAGTATTACGTTTCTGGTAGACCTATTACAAGGGATGTTTTTACTGGCTTGTTCCTTATGGTGTTAGAATGTGCTACAGGAAATAAAATAATGAATTCCTTTTAAATGTCTTCATCATCAAAAGTTACCCTCAAGTAGATGAAATATATATAATGTGAATCCTATGGTCACATCTCATGGCACAAGGTAAAAATGATGGGGACTACAGAAATACAGAAGACTGGATTTTGAGACCACGGTCAACCTTGGCCAACTAGCAGGCTTTAGGATAACATTGAGCTGTGTTGCCTGCCTTCCTCCTTGAATTATTTTAATCCCTTTCTTTTTTCTTTTTTTTTCTTAAGACAGAGAATTTTTAGAGCAGATTTGCAATAACAGAAGGAAAGGGAGGAAAATTTAATTGCATTTCCTCAGTATTTTCCCCCTTCAGTCAGTTTAGCTTATGATCAAAGTGTACGTTTCATTACAAAATATTATTAATACAAAATTGATGTAGCAAAAGTCTTTTAGGTGGTTGTGTCTGCTATTTTGAGTGCTTCTGGCAGATAATGGTTAATTCATTTTGTGGTCAAAGGCCTAGTAGTAGAATATTTTCTTCCTTAGAGCCCTGAAAAAAGTGTGCGCTACCATTAAGCTCTGAATGATTGTGTGATTTTTTTGGAATGTGCCTTATTACAGTGGATCTTAAATTGTAGCGTCTACCAGGTCATGGAAGATCTGTGGTGACCTTCTTGGTCACAGGGTGACAGTTTTACCTCTTTGTTTTACCCTGCAAAACTTCCTTAAAATATTGGATATGTGATAGGAACTTCATGGGGATCAGAACTGGGGAGCAAGTTGGGAGGATTCTTTTTGGGAGGTATTTTTGATTTATTTATTTTTTTAAATGGCCATCCCTGAATGCTGCAGTGGTGGAAAGCCTGCTGGAAATGAATTCTGTCTGGCCAATACTTCATGGAGAGCTTTCCAGTAGATCTTATTTCAAAACAGACACTAGACTTAAATATATGCCATTTTAAAATGTTTAATATTTTTGGTCTGTGAGTTTTGAGAAATAATGTAATTACTGTCAGCTGCAAAATATCCTGAATCCTTCATTATAGAGTAAATTCACTATATTATTTTGTGTTTGACATAGAGGTTTTTTTCCTTATTGGTTAAGTAAAATGTAGCTGTTTCTCTCTGTGGTTTCTGATATGCCTTATGAAAAGAACTAGGTCAAATAAACAATGTCCACTTACTGTGTACAAGGAGGACACTTTCATACATCTGTAGCAAGACTAATTCACTTCTACAGTTAGAAGCAAGCTTTCTAAAATCTTTTAGAAGTGCTTGTAAAAATACTTGTTTATCTGTGCCAATTAGTTACATGTGAACTCCCTGCATTCCTGTGGTCCAGACAAGTCCAGGTACAAGGGACAAAGTCCTTGCCAAGCTGCCAGTACAAACATCTTTTTGTAAGCTTAGTCTTTTTCAGACAAGCCTTTTAAAACAGACTGTGGTATTGACTGTAGATTAGAGGTATAGTGTTTGGCATATCCCTGAATTTTAAAATGGAGGAAGGTAAAACACGCAAAGGAAATATGGAAATGGTATCTGAGAAATTCAGTGTCAGCAGCTCGGTAGTAAAACTGTATGGATAATGCCTTATTATATAGTGCTATAACCTTTTACATACTTTGTAGCTAGCACTAATGGAAATAACAAACTCTAAAACTAGCTGATAATTGCCAAGAAAGACAGAAGCATATGTCTCTAGTCAGGGTAAAATCTTTTTTTTTTTTCATCAAGCTGCCCTGGAACTTTTCCTTCTAAATGTAATGAGAGTAGTTAACCATATTTTATTAGAACTTGTTTTGGTAAATACCAAAATTTGAAAAAGTTTAGAGAGGAAAATAATGTGCATATGACTTGAATTTCTGAAAACAGCTATGCTTATGCTTTTTAGCCGTCAGAACCAACTGAAGGATCAGCAGCACCAACAGCAGCAGCAGGTAGTGTCCTTGTGCCAGCTTCCGGATGAGGCTGAGTGTCTGACTGTCCCGCGGTATAAGCGAGACCTCGTGCAGAAACTTAAGATTCTGAGACAAGAATTGTCACAGCAACAACCACAAGCAGGCCACTGTCGTATTGAGGTCTCCAGGGAAGAGATTTTTGAGGTAATCCATGTACTGACCTGTTTTTACCAGACACAACGAGGAAGGTGGGGGAGGAGAGACCCATAAGAGGGGTGGTACGTGGTGTGGTGAAGGCTGAGAAGAGAATATGGATGGAGACTTCTATTCGGTGGAGGTGGCATTTAATTTCTTTCCCGGATATGTATTGCAACCAGGGTAAATTATAGATTTAAGAAGACATTCTACACCCTTCTCTTACAAATAGGATTTGAGTAAATTGCACATTGAATAGCTTTGATCTTCAGTATTTAACTAAGCAGCATATTTCTGGTTAGATTTTTCCAAAATTAGAGAATTGAATGCAATTACTCTCAAGGGACAGGAGACACCCAGGCGCACAATGTTCTCATTGGAATTTTGTGCCATTAATCATATGCTTTTGTCATTTTGGAGAAGTTTGCCTCCCTGAGAATTTCATCACTCTTTCCCCACACCTTTTACTCCACCCTCACCCTTCAGAGTCCTACAGTGTAGTCACTCTTTTTCTAGCCAAGGAGGATTTGGATGGCTCTTCCCTTTGGAGACTGTCACATCACTCCTTAATCAGCTGGAAAGGGGTGGATCACTGCACAGGAGCATAGAGTCTATCCCCTGTTCTTGGGAATAACTATGCTGGCTCCAGGGCACACCCAAGCCCTGCTGGTCTGAGAAGCAAAATTGGGAGTGTGATATTGCAAGTGCACAGAAAACATACTCTTGTTTCAGTTGCCAGTTATTCATATACTTCCTACTCTCCTTTCTTCATCCTTTCCAAACACCAGTGTCCAGGTGTTACTGACACAGTTACTGTAGCTCTGCAGATTTCTGACTAGCAGAGGCCATCCGGTTCTTGCAGGAATTGATGTTCTTTAAAATGCTTCCTTGCACATTTGTTCCTGTACCCACCTTCAACAGATGCCCATGTTTGTTGTCTTGTCAGATAGGAAAAACAAGGGCTTGTACAGCACATCTAATCTCCTAAGCAGTTTACTCACAGTTACAGTTTGTAATTACTTATAGAAGCTACAGGGGGATAAAATAAAACAAAAAATAATGTTTCTGCATACCACAAGCAACTGAAGGGTATAAGCTTTTCTGGCATATTTTTTATTTGACTGGTAATGTCCTTTTTGTAGAAAATGTCAGTTAGAATCTGTTATCTGAAAAATGCTAGTTACTAAATCAAGGAATACCCTCTGCTTTAGGGTCAGAGAATTGCATGATTAATTATTTATGGCAGAGAATGATAGCCTTTATACTTTTAAATAGTGGTGAATATGACAACATGCCATATAATTTCAGGAGTCTTACCGGCAAGTCATGAAGATGAGACCTAAAGACCTGTGGAAGCGATTAATGATAAAATTTCGGGGAGAAGAAGGCCTTGACTATGGAGGGGTTGCTAGGTAAACAAAGACGTGCCAGACTGTTCAGTGTATTTATTACCTATGCTTTGTTTCTAAGCTCTGTCTGTTTTGAAGGGGGTTGTTTTTAAAATATGTTCTAGTAACTAACTGTATGCCAACAAGGTGTCCCTCAGTTTTCTGATATTCTTTTAGAGGAGAATTATCATGCAAACTTTAGCATAGATGTATCCTAAATGTGAGATGTGCCTCTTGTAACTTTACTGAAGATGAGTCCATCTTCTCTGGTTAGTGAAATTAGGCTATAGACAGATGCTGTCCTTGGAGCAGGACCAGCTGTGCTGGGGTGTTGGCACAGCTGACCTGCTTCATTGGGTGATGCAGACATTGCCCATTGTCCTGAGTTGGGGCATGGCAGTGTGACGTGCAAGCCCAGAGTATCCCCTACCGTGGGATCCCTGGTTGCACATCTGCAAGCCCAGAAACCCAGGCAGGCACTCCCATGGCATCTTGGGCTTGATCTTGCAGGGAAATTCCCAGGGCACGCAGGATTGGGCCCCTGAAGCCCTGGGAGGGCCTGTCCAAAGCTACTGGAGAGTGCAGACTGCCCAGGCTCTCCAGCCATAATGGAAACAGATGTCTGCCACAAAAAGTAGCGCAAATTTTACTACCTACATTGCAGGCACCCTTTGGGGCATTTGTGGTACAAGGGATACAAAGGTCTGTTTGGGCTTTGTGCTGCCATAAACCTTTTTATGGTTACACAAAGGCAACATCCGTTTCCAGCATTAGATCACTGAGCATTTACACCATTAAGGACTCTATTTTGTGGTAAATCTTTGGTAACAAAAATGAGCCTAATATTGTAGTTTTAAATATAAAACCTTGACTAGGATTTAAAATAAAACATTAGCGTTTACTAGAGTCGGGACCTAAAGTTAATCAGTGGTCTATGGTTTGTGTGTGTGTTTAAAAAAAAATATTAAAAAATCAGTATTTTGGGGAAAATAGCTACAAGTATTGTAACACATGAAAAATGTATTACTGAGGCTTCTGTAATATGATTGTAAATATGAATATGCCCATCCCTTCTGAAATATGGAAGTGCGATTTCTGGTGCTTAAAATTAGCTTTGAAGATTAGAAGAATTTTAGGATTTAAACCAGAAGTTGTAGCAATGGTGTTGCAAAACTAGAATTGACGCATGTTATATGATGGCATTTTCTAGCCATCAACTAGTCTATTTTCCAGCCTGGCTTTCAGTCAGCATGCCCTGGGTCATCCACCCTCTCCTTTGTTGGGCAGTCAAAGGAGCAAAGTAAAGGGGCAGTGTGAAATATTATGGATGTTTTCTGCCTTCTTAAACTAATATTTACCAATCAGAGCAAATTTATTTAGCACTTTAAATTGCAGCCTGCAACGTAAAGACCTTCAGGTAATGGCTATATTCAGTAGACTGACAAATGGCAATGCTCTACAGTGAGTAGAATACACACAGTACAACTTTGTCTTAACTGTATAATGCCTAAGAAGGAGAAACAGAAGCAGAAACTCTGAGAGTAAGTGAGATTGGGAGGAAAAAAAATGCTTGGGCAGCTGGGAAGTCAGCCAGTTTTCAGGTAATGGATGCTTTCTGCTCGTCTAAATATGGCTTTAGTTTCATTTCTTGTTGTTCGTTGTGAATATTAAAGTTGAAAACCTTAAGTTTTGCATAGTTTCTCGGTATATAAATGTTTGCCTACAACTTAAGGTCAATTATCTTGTTCCGCCAGGGAATGGCTCTACCTGTTGTCACATGAAATGCTGAATCCATATTACGGCCTCTTCCAGTACTCCCGAGATGATATCTACACACTGCAAATCAATCCAGACTCTGCAGTTAACCCGGTATGGACAGTGACAACTTCTATAAATCATCTTTCTGTGGCCCAGAAATGTTGTTAACTGTTGGGTATTCTTAAGACTTTATCTAATTCTCATGTTAGTACTGCCAGAAGTGGATTTTGTACAGTTAACATGGTCCTTTTATACCACTGTGATTAGAGGAAAGAATATGAAATATTTCTCCTTAATCTTGGTGCCAAGTGTTGGCATTTCTCAGTGGAAATCACAAAATCAAGTTGTCTTGGCGCTTAGCAGCAAAATCTCAGGACTGTGAGGAACTAATGTTTAGAACTTTTTGATAGTAAGGTCTTGCTTCTTAAATTTGAAATTCAGCAAATGTTCTCTCGGGAAGTCTGATAAGTTGATTGCATTTGTCTTTCAATTCCAGGAACACTTATCGTATTTCCATTTTGTTGGACGGATTATGGGGATGGCTGTGTTTCATGGACATTATATTGATGGGGGCTTCACATTGCCTTTCTATAAGCAGTTGTTAGGGAAGCCAATTACTTTGGATGATATGGAATTGGTTGACCCAGATCTTCATAACAGTTTAGTCTGGATACTGTATGTATTGCACATTTCATAATTACAATAATATTTAGTATGCCATCTGAGTTAGCATGTAATTCATTCATTTAAATTTGGTTGGAATAAAATTAAATTATTCTGTGTTCCACATGCTCTCTACTAAGGCAGTTGGTTTTACAGCATGCATTTCTAATGTATACAATTTTTATTTTAAAAAAGGAGGGATTTCAGCTTAGTAGAGACTTGAACATGTGTGAAAATAATATTGAGTGCAGATTGCATTTTGTTAGTCACTAGACTTAACTTTTCAAAATTGTAACTTTTTGCATTTGCTGATCATGTTGAATGCTAAATAGCAGTAGCATGTTGCTTAAATATGTGACACTGAAAAAGTTAATAGTGTTGTTGTGCATAATTTAACAATAACAAAACAGTAATAGGCTGTTTGGTAATTAAGCTCCTGACAAATAGTTTGAAAGCAAATCTGATTGAAAATGAAATTGACATGTCTCTCATAAGTGTGTGTGTGTGTGTGTGTGCGTGTAATGCAGTTGTAGAGAACATCTTCACTGAACTCTCTGCTTGTTTCTTCCCCCAAGTGAGAATGACATTACGGGAGTCTTGGACCATACATTTTGTGTGGAACACAATGCTTATGGGGAAATTATTCAGCATGAACTGAAACCGAACGGCAAAAGCATCCCTGTCACGGAGGAAAATAAGAAAGAATATGTCAGGTATTAATCATCAGTTTTTCAGTTTTCTGGGTGATGTGGTGGGATTTTTCCCCCCGCTAAGCTTCCCCTAGATGTGATTTTTGGCTTGTTTGAACCAATAGGCAGTGCCCCATATTTTTGAAACTCCAATACAGTAGCTTTGTTGTGCTGAATTGCTGTCAGTAACTTTGTTTCTTTGGCTGGACAAACTGCAGGGTTATTGTGCTTGAATGTATTTTCCACCCAGAACATTTGCACTTGCTTACAGGCTTTATGTAAACTGGCGATTTTTACGAGGAATTGAAGCACAGTTTCTGGCCCTGCAGAAGGGATTTAATGAAGTAATCCCACAACATCTGCTGAAGACATTTGATGAGAAAGAGCTAGAGGTCAGTACATTACTGTTGTGTTATGTCGTCAAGTGTAACAATAAAAGGTTGATACATTCTTCTGAGACTAAGTAACATGATAAGTTGCCTCCCTTGTGCTTTTGGGGTTTTGCAGGTGCAATGTTACAAGAAATACAGTTAACACAAAAGGTCATTCAGGCCCTGGAATTTCTGAGGCTGATTTCTCTGACATCCTCCATTCTGTCTGTCTCCTACAAAATCAGTAGCTGGGTTTGTCAGCTGAGCAGCTTTCTCTCCTGTGATTTGTCTGATGCTATTGGGTAGAGCAGTGTTCAAGTTTGTCCTTTTGTTTGTGTTGACTTTGCTAATGACTTATAGGAGGCTAGATAGGACAGCTATTGTGGAAGATGCCACTTTTCTTCTGGTCAGTTCTGACAGGTTACGTAGGATGGGGATACCTCTTGTACTTCATTCAGCAGATGATTTCTGATCAAGGTATCTACAATTTTCTCAAATTTGCAGAGTAGGATAGCGCTGTCTCACTGGTAGCCCATAAAGGGTGGATCTGTGGCCCCAGGGCTCTCACCTGACTTAGAAGTTGAACAGCCCTGGTGTAGGAAAAGGTGCATACCTTTTGAAGAAACACTACTTGGCACTACCACCATATGCTGCACCATATGCACAGAGATGAATGTCATGCTGAATAGAACACCCCTTAAGGACAAGTGAACAGAGTTTAACATTTTTTAAAACTTAAATTGGATATAAGATCTACATCTGGGCTTTCTTTTTTGCCCTTCAGTGATTGTCCACATCTTCTGAGCCACTGCGAGTGTGCTGGCTTATAAAACGGCTAAAGTGAGAACTACTCACACTTTCTTTTGTGTTATTCTGTGATGACATCTCTAGCAAAGATACAGTGGCAACCTGTCTCTTCTGCTGTTAGACTTTGAGCAGATCAGACAGCGAAATCCAAAATAGTCTTTTAACTGCTGCCTGAGAAAAGGGGGTGAAGGGTTTTTGGTGGAGGAAATGGCAAGTCCAAAGTATGATCTTATTTCACAAATGCTGCAAAACCTTGCTCTTGGCAAACATTTCAGAAGATTGATGCTACCATCTGCACAAAGACCTTCCAGAAAACAAAGCAAGCCAACCATCCCCAAAGTGATGAAAAATCAAATGGAATTTTTAGCTGTGGAAAGGGAGAATACCAGAGACTCCATGAAATCAAGTAGGGACTTAGTTGTGGCTACTCACTGTATGTGTTCAGATGCAGTAGTGATACATACATAGATGTTCACAGCATGGAAGTTGTTATTTAAGATGCAACAACATTTAGAGGATTTTGGTTTACAGGGACATTGATAAATGGGAAAACCAGTATGAAATGAATTGAATGAAATTCATGTAGGACAAATACGAAGTCCTGCATTTAGCATAGAACAAGCAAATGCACAAAAACAAACTGAGGAATGAATTACTAGACTGTAGTATTGCATAAAGTTGGAGCTACAGTAGACTCTAAGTAGAATATGAGTTAACAAGTGCTCTTGTTGCAAAAAAAAATAAAAAATAAAAAGTCAACAGCATAATGCATTGTATTAACAAAAATGTCACCTGCAAGTGAAGGGAAGTGGCTCTTCAGCTCTACTTGGCACTGGGGGGGGCCTCATCTTGAGTTTCCCATTTTGGGCCCTATGTTTCAAGAAGATGAGATCAACATGTGGAGAATCCAGTAGTGAGCAGCAAAAATGATTAAAGACCTAGGAAATGAGACTCATGACGAAGGGTTGGAAGAACTAAGATTATCTAGCCCGGAAGAGAAGACTGAGCAGGGATTTGAAACACCCTTGAAACATCTTAAGAGTGGTTGTGAACAGGATGATAAATAATAGACAGTTCTCAGTGGCCAAAGGGGACAGGACGAAAAGTAACAGTCTTAAATTGCAATTAGGGAAATATTAGGTTTACTATTAGGAAGCATTTTCTAACTGTGAGTGGTTAAGTGCTGAAACAGATTACTTAGGCTGTGAAATCACCGTTCTAGAAGTTTTTAAGGGCAGGTTAGACAGACACTTGGATGATCTTACCCTGAGCAGGGAGTTAAATTAGATGTCCTCCTAAGGTCCCTTCTGTCCCTATTTTTCTATGAAAGCAGAGGACAGATGCTATACTCCATTTGAAGTTCAAAATATATTTTACTTGTTCATTCATTTTGTAACTGTATGAGATGGAAAAATATTGCTAGAAAGTACTGTTTAATGGGAGGGGGAAGATGACTGAATTCTGAAAGCCAAATTACACCCTGCGCTACCCATCAGAAGAAATCTTACCAAACTTGGTAGACCTTTGTATGCACAAAGGTGAAGGTAGAACTTGTACATCTGGAATCACAGGACACTTTCAGGATCTGTAAATTATTTTTGTTCTAAGCTTAGGAACCTGGGCTGTTCTGGCTGGAAAAAAAAGCTAGAATTTGACATTTCAGAAATGGATTGCTTGTGACTTTTTTTTTACAACAGAGTACGATGATGTAATTCCACATTTCTTAAAACCAGAGCAAGGCTATAACTTTTCATTGGTAGTAAATTTTGAAAGTTTTTAAACATGCGTTTTCTTTTGATGGTTAGGCATTATGTAATTTCTTTTGAGCACTGATAATGTGTATGATTATTAACAGCTCATCATTTGTGGACTTGGAAAGATTGATGTTAATGACTGGAAGGCAAATACTAGGTTAAAACACTGTACCCCAGACAGCAACATTGTGAAATGGTTCTGGAAAGCTGTGGAGTTCTTTGATGAAGAGAGGAGAGCACGATTACTCCAGTTTGTGACTGGCTCGTCCAGAGTGCCTCTGCAGGGTTTTAAAGCATTACAAGGTAAAAGTTCTCCTGGAACCAACTTAAACTGGATGCGCATGGGGAAGGAGCGGGACTTGCCTCGAAAACCTTCCATGAAAACAAGGCTGTTGGTTTGCAGTGGGATTTTCAGTGGTCTGATGGCTGTTCTTTGGCATCACGTTTCACTTGCTCTTCTCTCTTGGCCTGCCCATTCCCTGGTGACTCCTGGCTGTAAACTGCTCTCTTCTTTCCCCCTATAAAAGCACTTCTGTTTCTTACTAACTGAAGTAAATTTTAGAAATCAAATCTATAGCTTTTTCCCCTAACAGTCTGATTTTTAATTTATTTTCATTGCAATACTTCACCTCCTCTACAGCTGTCCACCATTCACTCCACGGCCCAAAAAAACAAGAAGTAACTACAGAAAAAATCTGCCTCATTAGCCAGTGGCCTTTGAGCTCCAGTAGGAGCTGTGCCTTTCTGCAGGAGTGCCTCTGACTTTGACTGTCAGCTGCACTGCTAGATGTACAGTACCAAAGTGGCCTCAGTGATTCTCCCGCATCTCTCAAGATTAGAAGTATTTTTGTTAGCAGATGGGCGAGTTGGATTCCAGCTGAACAAAAACCCTCTGATAGCAATTACTGTTTACAGAAATTTACCCACTCCTCCAGGTGCTTCTCGCTTCTGACCCCCAGCCCTACTGTTACCACTTACTTTCAACCCACAGCCGCCTGGCCTTGCCAGTGCCTCTCACTCCCAACCTGCAGCCCCCCACTTCCCCAGGGCCAGGGCCTGCAGCCCCCTGCTCTCCCTCGCCAGCAGCACCCAAGACGTACTTGCTGCCTACCGAAGGCCACAGCAGCTGCTGTGGCCAGAGTGGACCATGGAGCCGGTCTCCCCTCTCCCTCCTTCCCTCTCTCCCCTGTGGGCCTGGAGCAGAGCCCATGCTGCCGTCCCCCCCAGGGGCTTCATGAACCAGCAGCCAGGACCTGGTGCAGGAGGGAGCTCCGCCCCACCATGGCGGTCAAGCCAAGGCACCTCCTACCTGCCTGGGAGCCCAACCCCAACTGCTGATGATGTGAACCAGTTTGGGGTTGTGACCCACAGTTTGGGAACTGCTGTGCAAGACTAAGATTTAATTATCTTTGGTACCTTTAAGCAAATGCAGCTGGTGACAGCAGCTGAAACCTGCATAGGACAGGGGTGGGCAATCTGCAGCAGATCAGGCAGGGGAAGGGGGTGAGAGTGGCACACGGGGTGGTTCTGGGCAAATTTGTACATGCCTGCCAGAAAGTTTGGCCCCTGCTGGTATAGATGATGCCTTCCATTTTTGTGTGTTCAAGCTTTCCATGTTGCTGTATAAGCTCAGAAGGCAGCCAGAGATTCACTTAACTCATCCTTTATGATTAACCCACAGCATGACAGACTATAAATTTGTTACACTGTGTTGGTGATTGCTAGTACTACCATTACTGTATGTTCATTCCCTGGTATAATCAGCTAGAGTTTTGCATTCCATACTGTTTCCTGGTGTTGGGAGGCCCACGCAAAGCCAGCTGTGCCTGTGGAGACTTTGGTTACACAAAGTTGTACTGTGTTAAATATTTCAGAATAGCTGAAGTGGTACGTCCCCAAGATGGAGGCAGTTTTCACCAGCATGTCCAGTTCAGTATGGGAGGGAGAAATACATTGCACTGCTATGACTGTGTCTGTACTAAGGGTCATAGAGTGCAACTATCGCTAACACACCCCACCACACTCATAACCGACATCATCCCACCCGGACACAGGCTGAGTGGACCAGGTGGTGTATATTCCTTGCTGCTAATCAGTGCCTTGCTACTGCATCTCTTTCACTGGCTTGGACAGTCTTGCTCGTGTCATGCTCGTGTGAAGGAAACAAAACCTCCTGTCTGAGGGCGAGTGTTGAAATGGCTTTTCCCTGCTTGCTCTGATGTGCTCCCTCCCTCCCTGCTGCTGCTGGCCTTTTCTTACTCCCTTCTGACTTAGCCCTTTAACACACTCACTGTCTGACTCTGGGTATTGATGGGCAGTCATTTGTAACACTTAAAATGCAGCACTGCGGGGCTGTTACAAGCATCCCACCCCTTCACTGGAGGGGGAAGTTGCTTCAAAGGCGAACCCTCCAGGTTCCCCAGGGCTGATGACAGCAAAGATGAATCAAACCAGGGCTGTGCAGAGCTGCAGGTGTACAGGCATTGCTGATTGAGGGCACAGCCACTGTGAGCAACAGGGCTTCCAGGTCTGCTGAGCACAGCAGGGCTCTGTGGGAGCTCACCCCTGGGCAGGGGCTCAGGGAGCAAGCCAGTTGCGCCCCCGTCCCCCCTTGCAAGGAGCTGTCCTTAAGCAACAAGCGTTAAAGACCAACTAGAATGTGAAACTGTGGAACCAGAAATGTCTGCAGACGGGAGTGCGCGACGTGTGGTCGGAGCAGACTGTGGGTTCTTACCCCCGTACTTGGACTGGCCATGAGCTCTGCTCTTTACCCCATGTCGTTCAGTGTGCTGCTTTCTATATCCCTGTTCCAGTGAGACAGGCATGCCACACTACAAATGACACCCCACACCATCCCTGAATGCCACTCCAGTCTCCTTCCCCTCCCATTTGCTGCTCTTTCTGCTCCCTGCCTGATCTGCTGCTCTCCTTTCTGCTCCCTGGTATGCTGACAACCTTCTCCCTCATCAGGTGAATGCAATACGCAGGGGCTGCTTGTGGCATTTGTGTTGCAGGTCAGCCACCCTTGCTCTATTCAACCACCCTTAGCCTCTCTCAGCAGCATCCCTTCACTCTCCCTATCCCTTTCCTTTGGATTGACATTCCTTTCTACCAAAACCTCTTCTTTTTACAGGTCCAGTCATAGCATCTGATGCATTAGGCTGCTGCCTAGGAAAGCTCATGCCTCTCTGAACCAGTTAGTCTCTAATGTGTCCCATCCCCACCCCTGCCCTGGCTTCTGTAGCACTTCCAGCATCTTGGTAGTGCCCAAGCTGTTGGAGTGGCTGCGCACTTGCTTTCTATAGCACTGTGGGGGCATAGGTAATGCTACACATGTGGCCTCTCAGGGTTGTGCCATGTCATAGCATCAGCTTTCATCTTTACTGGATCTGCAGGTGCTGCAGGCCCGCGACTGTTCACAATACACCAGATCGATGCCAGCACCAACAACTTGCCGAAGGCTCATACCTGGTAAGTCATGTGACTTTATCCCATTTTCTGGGAAAAATGCAGCATTTAGATAAAGGAGAAGTCGGTGCATTTCCACTGCTGTTTGCCCTGTCTCACCTGCCCTTTCTTTGGCTTTGTGAACGTTGGCACCTTAAGGTAAGCCAGGAATACAGCATAAAAGTTGCATGTGTATTACCAAAGCTTTTTGAGTTCGCTAAACATGTGGCTGTAGTGCAGACAAACCCTGACCTGCACAACCTTTGAATTTCTGGGTGCAGCTGAAAACAGTTAAAGTTGCTTTGCTTTCTGTTCACAGCTTCAATCGAATAGACATTCCTCCCTACGAAAGCTACGACAAGCTGTATGAGAAGCTGCTAACCGCCATTGAAGAAACATGTGGGTTTGCTGTGGAATGACCCTTTCACAGGCTTACCTAGGACTCTATTTATACTCCTGTCATCCGGAAAGCCCTCCCCCTCAGCCAAGCCTCGAGAAATGCTTGAAATACAGGAAACCTTTCCCTTTTCTACGCTAGGACACTGGGAGGGAAAGGACAGTTTTGGAGTTTTTATTTTTTCCAAGAAAATGGGTCCTGTGGCTTTTGTCATAGAACCATTCAGCTGCTATTAAAAACTAATACCTTGAACACCTAGAATGCTGACTTTTCCTACATTTCAACAGTTAAGCAGTATTCTACACTTAAAGACTACTACTATTTTTGTAAAAGGTGTAATCTATTCTATTTGCCTACCTGATTTCTATTCTCACAGATACCAAGACACCATGTTGGCAGTCGGTACAAGTCACTTTCAGCCTGGTTAAAAGTATGATACTGAACAGCGCCTATACCTGCTATTTTTTAAAAGAAAAATATTTTGGATTATTCTAACTTTGCATAAAATTGGCTACAAGAATCATTAATCTTTTTAATTAAAGCCACTTACAAGTTAACTGCGTTTCTTATAGTGAAACATTATATTCTGCATTGTAAGTTCAACTTAAATGTTACCCAGATGGGGCTTTTTATATTTTTCAAGCATGGATTACAGATCTGAAGTTTGGGGTCCTGTTTATATCAATTGTCTGATTCCTTAAGCAAATTTCCTAGTCTCCGTGACTGACACTGTATTTAGTACAGGACATTGTGTTAAATGTGGATTAGCCCCTTTTTTAAAGGGAGTTCGTCATTTCAATTTTTTTAAACAAACATTTTTGTAACAAGTCTCTTGTTGAGAGTATTTTTGGTTTGCTTTCACTTGAAAATGGAAACGCTGCAGTTTTCAAATTCCATAAAGCATGCTGCTGATGAGGTGATGTTGATAGCCACCTACCTGCCTGCTCATCGGTTCATGTTTCAGAATCGTCTGTATCCGCCCAGCCATCCAAAGTTTATGTTCACATGCAACCAATTCGCAGTGCGTATTTGTTGTCTTTAAAGACTTATCAGGTAAACCATTTTTCATCTTTGTTTAGCTCACATGACGTCAGTTTGCTTAAATTACAGCTAAGGAAAAGCAGTCAGTTCAGATAGTAAATGCTGAACGTGCGTGCGATGTGCTCTGACAGTGAGGTCGTTCAAGCAGTGTCATTGGTTTTAGGGCTGAAAGTATATGTATGCAAACGTTAAAGCATGGGTTGGTCTGTTCAAATGGGAACATGATGCACTACCGGTGGAGGGAACTGTATTTTGAAATGCGGTTGGGAATTCTGAGCTGTTCAGCTGAGCACGTTCTGTTCATGGGGTGTAGCTAAGTTTGGCTACTCACGGCACAATGGTTTTTTAGCATTCTCCTGAGTGTGTGGTGGTACCTACGTACCTGACCTGTCTCTGCCTGCTAAGCAGGGGGACAGTGACGCTTGGCAGAGGTGATTTTCAATTTTGTTCAATCGGTATTGTGTTTGTTTCTTTAAACCTGGACCCCGAAATCAGCACTGTGTTTACACTGCTGCTGAGAAACAATGAAGAGTATTGAAATAAAATAAAAAAACAGGACCATTTCCTTTGCAGCCTGCATTTTACAATGAACTAGCTGATGGGCCTTACCCATTGCTGTGTATTTTGGGAACCTTTCAACATACAGATTTTTTTTCTGCCAAATCTGACTGCCCTAGCAAGTAAGTTAGAACAGGCACTATGTATTGGAATAAAAGGCAATGGTTCATTTGTGGAGCTGTGGGGAGAATTTGGTAGCTCACATCCACATACTCCCTCAGTTTCTCCAGTGGGGCTGTTCCTCTGAACTTGCTTACCAACCTGAGCTGGCTGGTGAAGAGATGAGGCTGCTCAGGGATCTGCACCTGAAGCCAAAAGATCTGCTTGGGAGGTGGTCTTCTTAGACCCTCTCCCTCATTTGCTAAGCTCTGCTTGGGCTCATGCAGATGCGGTGGTAATGCTGCCTTTAAAGCTGCCCAAAGACACCACTCAAGCTGAATTCCTTTGGTTATTTCATGGACTGGAAACCAGAGTGTCCAGGCCATGGTGCGTGTGGGGCAGAACTGTCTGACTTCCTCCAGGCAGCAGGAATGTCCTGCCACGGCCACGCTGCTGGCCAGTGGAAGTGACAGCTTCGCTGTCTCGTGCTTCTGTCCTGGTCATGCTTGTTGGAGTTTTCCTGAACAAGAGCAGCTTGTCCCTCTAACAAAGGTGTTGTGACCCTGCCTGCAGTTTCCATCTGGACAAGGGTAAATGCTTTTTTTAGCAGGACACAAGCATGGCTTTCCCCACGCTAGGTCCCTGCAGTCCTGTACATTTTCTGAGCTGCAGGACTGCAGGGGCTTTTGTTGGCACCTATTCCTGTGAATTCCCAGTGCTGCTTCAGCTGCACACCCCCTCGTAGCAAACTCTCTGCACGAGCCAGTTGCCCAGGCTAGTAAACATGGCACACACCTTCTATGCCCCCGGGGCATTTTATAGGTTTGCCCTTTGCAGAAAATTAATTGTATATCAGTTATTTCAATGCACAGTGATAGGGCTGTTGCTTTCCTGTTAAGCATTTTGGTGGGGTGTTGCAAAATCCTTCCAGTCCCATGGGGCTGATATTGTAAACTTAAATTTTCCAATATTATGCACAGGAATAGATAACACTTCTCTGTATTTGACAGCTGATGAATATACCAAGTATTTTGAGTGCCTTTTTGCTTCATAGTGATTGACAGCTTTGAATAAAGCACCCTGCCTGCTCAGAAACTGTGTGAAATTCTGCAGAAGCGCCAGCCTATCAGAGTTTAGCTCAAAAATCATGTCAGTTCCCTCAAACAGGTGCTAAGCCTAATGTTGCATTGAACCTGGGACTTTCACCCCATGAGTAATGTGAATATTTATTTCAACTTGTCCCTTGTACTCGTTTATACTTTAGCTATTCTTTAGTTGCATAAAGTTGTTTTAGAGAAATGCCACATCATGGTTTCATGCTGTTGCTTTTCATGATGAATGTTTAATATGAACAGTGACTATTTTGTAGATTTCAAATATACAGTACACAGTTGCGTTTCAGAGGATTTAATTTCTCGGTGTAAAGAGTTTTGTAATTGGTGCTTTGTACAGTATGTATTCTAATTTTTTTTTTTGCACATAGATTCAGTTTCCCTAAACTGATTTATTTTTACCAAATGTTTGCATTGTTCTAAAGTCCAGAGCACACAAGTTTCCCTTCTTTAGTTTTGTTCCACAACACTACACTTATATTGAACTTCTGGTGCGTTTAAACTGGCTGCATGGATGGAAGTAAAAGCTTTGCTTCTTTCTCATAAGTATGCATCATCCTACAGCTTAATGTAGCATGCTCCCATTGCTTCAGATTTTAAACTGCACCATATAGTTAACAGGTGCCCTTTGTTGTACTTAACATTCTCTGTCGTAGGCTTTTGGCTCTACCACATCTTTAGAGCTTTATCTATAGCTGTAATTAGTTTATCTTCAATTGTAACCCCCCCC